CCGCTACCCGCGCGTCCGCGAGCTCTACGCCGCCGCCCGCCGCGTGCTGGGCTACGACCTGCTGGAGCTGAGCCTGCGCGGGCCGCAGGAGGCCCTGGACCGCACGGTGCACTGCCAGCCCGCCGTCTTCGTGGCCTCGCTGGCCGCCGTCGAGAAACTGCACCACCTGCAGCCCGCGGTGAGGCCCGAGCTCCCACCCGCGACACGTTGCGCTGGGTCCGCGTTCCCGCGCTGTGCCAGGCGCTGGAGATACAGCCATAAACAAACAAACAAACAAAAACAAACAAGAGGAGAGCTTGCATGTTAGGGGAGGGAGACAGATCATAAGGAGTAAGTGCACCACGTAGATGGCATAGCATGTCAAAGATGATAAAGGTTACAGGAAGGGAAACAGCAGGGAAAGGGGCTGGGAGGTCAAGGGCCGGGTTTCTGTTGTAAGTGATCCTTAACAATTTAATTAAATTACTAAATGACTCCGGAAGGATTGAACGTCATCATCTTTGATGGCCGTTGAAAAACCATCCCGAGAATGTCATTTTTACCTGAAGGTGTGAACTGGTTGCTGCTGTTACTTATTTTTTTAATTTTTAAATTTTTTTAATATGTCTTTATTGATTTCAGAGAAAGGAAGGGAGAGAGAAACATCAATGATGAGAGACTCATTGATCGGCTGCCTCCTGCACGCCCCCGACTGGGGATGGGGCGGCAACCCCAGGCATGTGCCCTGACGGGGAAGAACCCTGATCGCCTGGATCCTAGGTCCACGCTCAACCACTGAGCCACGCCCGGCCGGGCACTGCTCTTATTTAATACTATGAGGACAGTAAATGCTGAGCTAGTACTTTAAACCTTTTACTCCATTTCATCTTCACCACAACCTTGGGAGGAAAAGACTGTTACTTTGTGGATGAGGAAAGGAGAGGCAGATACTGGAAGAATCAGTCAAGTGGTCCTGTTGAATCTCTGCGATAACATTCACTGAATGCCTACCCCGGGCCAGGTCTGTGCTGAGTGCCTTAGAGACATTGTCTTCCTATAATTCTCAGCAGCCCTGCGACATAAGTCCTGCTCTTTCCTCATGTCACAGATGTGATAACAGGCTCAGAGAGGTTAGGGAACTATCCCAAACTAAGAATCAAATCCAGCTCTTTGTGACTCCCAGAGTCATATTTCCAAGTTCTATGCTTAGTTCCCCAGCTCCATCCAGCCTGGGAGGTGGCTCCAGGGCAGAAGCAAGAGAACCCAGGGCCCTGGGTTGCAGTCGCAGCTTTACCTCACAGTCAGCCAGGGGGCTTTCACTTGCTAGGGAGGTTCCTCATCAGTAAAGGAGCTGGGTCAGCGATTGTCAGGGCCACCTCTGTGTGTCTTCTAGCTGGAGCACCAGGCCAGCCGAACCTGACTCACTGAGCCACCGCCAGCTCTCAAGTGCAGAGCCCTGGACTGAGCTCCCAAGGACAGGTCCTCACATTCTGCATCTGTCACCACAGGTTATTGAGAACTGTGTCGCTGCTGCTGGATTCAGTGTGGGAGAATTTGCGGCCCTAGTGTTTGCTGGAGCCATGGAATTTTCTGAAGGTACACAGAAAGGGGTTTGGTGGTGTACAGGGGTTTGTCTTGCTGGGCTCACTGGGGATAAGGGACACTGTCAAAAATAATTCTGGACCCACAAGTTTGATAGAGAAGGAGCATATGGATGGGGATGATATTGGAACCCGAGGACCAGACTTCACCTTGATTCTCTTTTAACCCTGAAAAGTTCATCAAGGATTTCCTTTCTGTGCTCTCATAAAATCTGGTTGCTTGACTGTCTTTCCCACTATCCTGTGCATTCTTGGTTCAATCACAAACCTTCAGTGCCTGTCACATGGTAGGAGCTCAATACATATACATTGAATGAAAAAGAGTAAGTGAATGTTTGATCTTGAGCCATATCAGTCTCACTTTTTAACAGTTTTGCGTATAGTTAAAAGTTAAACATTTTTGCTTATACTGGGCCACTCTGGCCTGAGTGCCTGGCTCGGGGCATGCTGAATGCAGACAGCAACCTGAGTGAGGGGCTGCAGCAAAGGACTTGGACATTTCTCCAAAGAAGATACACAAATGGCCAGCAAGCACATGAAAAGATGCTCAACATCACTACTCATTAGAGAAACGCAAATCAAAACCACAATGAGATACCACTTCACACCCACTAGGATGGCTTTAATGTAGAACAGCAATAACAAAAAGGAGCATAATACGTGTTGGCAAGGATATAGAAAAATAGGAACCTTACACATTGCTGGTAAGAATGTAAAATGGTGCAGCCATTGTGGAAAAGTTTCTTGGTTCCTCAAAAAGCAAAACGTAGAGTTACTATATGAGCCAGGAGTCATACTCGGAGGTCTAAGATAAAAACGTGTCCACCCAGAAAAACTTGCACACAAATGTTTATAACAGCATTGTTTATAATAGCCAAAAGGTAGAAACAGTGCGAATGTCCATCATCAGATGAATGGATAAACTAATTGTGTATCTATATAATGAAATATTAGGGATGAAAAGGAATGAAGCACTGACACAGGCAGCAACATGGATGAATTTCAAAAAGATGCTCAGTGAGGAGCCAGTCACAAAGGTCACATACTGTGTGATCCCTTTCATGTGAACTGTCCAGGGTATGCAAGTCCAAAGAGACCACAGATTAGTGGTTCCTGTGGGTGGAGAAGAGAAACGGGAAGTGATTACACTTAGCAGGTGTGTGGTGTTTTATGAGATGGTGGAAAGTTCTGAAACTAGTGAGCTGCTGGTTGCACAGTATTATGAATACAACAAAGAGCACTGCATTATACACTTGAAACAGGTTCTATTTTATGTGAATTTCACCTCAGTGTTTAATAAAAAATATAGCACTAAAGGAAATGAAAAAAGTTTCATATTTCCACAAGCCAGTAAAACTCTTCTGTATGTACATAGTTCTATGTGTGAGTAATTTGCATAATTATAGCAGGTGTACATTCTGTGTCCAGTTCTTTCACTTGACGTTTTGTGTAGTTATTTACTGCATGCTGCATGAGGGGATTTCCCATGTTCTCTCCACATGCACATGCCTGTGTGTTCTCAGCTACTGCCCACCACTGGCTCTTATGTATTTGCTGCACAGTAAGGGGGCTAAGAGCTCAGTACAAACATACATCAGTACCGAGGGAATAAGAATGTGTTAGACAGGTGCAGGACTGCTCCCCAGACCTTCTCTGTTGTCCCATCAAATCCAAGACTGGTCCCCTAACCTTTCCTTGGTCTGGTCACCTCCTCCCAGCCAGGGAGCAGACCTGGGACCAGAACGATGGATGTCCATTAGTTACAGGTCATTCCTGTGTCACGATCATTGGAGCTGCCTCCCTGGGTCCAGCCCTATCTTCTCCCCTCGCACTGGAGCCACAGTGAACCAGGAGCCCTGTGTTTTAGTCCCTCTGCCTTGGCAGTGCAGGTTCTCCAGCTCTGAGGGCAGTAGTGCTTGATTTATAATAATTATGTTACTGAACTCCACGTAATTGTAGTTTGTACATCATTCCAAATATCTGATGGCTCTTATTTTTCCTCTTCAACATGATTTCTCTAAAATAATAAACTAATTAATAATACTTCCCAGTTTTCACAACAGTCCAGGCAGATTACATACTGTTATCCCCATTTTACTAAGAATTTGACCTGGAAGGAGATCATGACTTGCCCAAAGCAGCGTAGCCCAGTCTTCCTCTCACCTACACCAGGATTCCTCAGCAGCCGCACTGTTGACATTTTGGACCATTTAATTCTTTGTTTTGGGAGTACTCTGCTTGTTGAGTAGCATCCCTGGCTTCTACCCACGAGCTGCAAGTAGCACCCCCTTCTCCACCAGTTGTGACAATCAAAAAATGTTTCTAGTCCAGTAGGGTGTGGCTCAGTGGTTGAGCATCGACCTAGGATCCAGGCGATCGGGGTTCGATTCCGGGTCAGGGCACATGCCCAGGTTGCAGGCTTGATCCCCAGTCAGGGGCGTGCAGGAGGCAGCTGATCAATGACTCTCTCGTCATTGATGTTTCTCTCTCTCTCCCTCTCCTTTCCTCTCTCTGAAATCAAATAAAGATATATTTTTTAAAAATGTTTCTAGACACTGCCCTGGGGGCAAAATCACCCCTGGTCAAACCCTACACCAAGCCAGCTTAAAGGCAGGAGCTCCGTGGGTTAATCTGTGTTTTATCAAGGCCAGCACCCCACTATATATATTTTTATTTTTTGAAATATATATTTATTGATTTCAGAGAGAGGAAAGGAGAGGGAGAGAGATAGAAACATTAATGACGAGAGAGTCATTGATCAGCTGCCTCCTGCACGCCCCTGACTGGGGATCAAGCCTGCAACCTGGGCATGTGCCCTGACCCGGAATCGAACCCCGATCGCCTGGATCCTAGGTCGATGCTCAACCACTGAGCCACACCCTACTGGACTAGAAACATTTTTTGATTGTCACAACTGGTGGAGAAGGGGGTGCTACTTGCAGCTCGTGGGTAGAAGCCAGGGATGCTACTCAACAAGCAGAGTACCCCCAAAACAAAGAATTAAATGGTCCAAAATGTCAACAGTGCGGCTGCTGAGGAATCCTGGTGTAGGTGAGAGGAAGACTGGGCTACGCTGCTTTGGGCAAGTCATGATCTCCTTCCAGGTCAAATTCTTAGTAAAATGGGGATAACAGTATGTAATCTGCCTGGACTGTTGTGAAAACTGGGAAGTATTATTAATTAGTTTATTATTTTAGAGAAATCATGTTGAAGAGGAAAAATAAGAGCCATCAGATATTTGGAATGATGTACAAACTACAATTACGTGGAGTTCAGTAACATAATTATTATAAATCAAGCACTACTGCCCTCAGAGCTGGAGAACCTGCACTGCCAAGGCAGAGGGACTAAAACACAGGGCTCCTGGTTCACTGTGGCTCCAGTGCGAGGGGAGAAGATAGGGCTGGACCCAGGGAGGCAGCTCCAATGATCGTGACACAGGAATGACC